CTCAAGTGTTTCGTATCTCCCATTTATTCTCTTCAATTTTTATCCAATTTTTACATTTTATTTGCTTCTTAGGTGATGCTGAAGGATATTCGTGATTCGCGTCGTGTCAGTGCCCTCATTGCTGACACCGCAAGGGTGGAGGATGGGAATGGTGCTGAGGCCGCGACCCAGGAACACAATCCTACGTACTTTCCCTTACAAGCCTACATCCTCTCGGGTGAGTACTGGCCTGAGTTCCATCATGAGCAATTCAAACTCCCAGAGGGTCTCACTCCGACCTTCTCTCAGTTCACCTCGTGAGTTAGTTTTGATTTGGTCATATTTGATCCTTAACCTCTCCCAATCTTTGTCCAGCTCATCTAAAACTCGAAGCATCGGCTTTGCTTCAAGCCTAAGCATATCAAATAGTGCGTTGTCATCCTGATATCCAAATATATTTGTTCTAGTCATGCCAATCGACCTCACTTATTGTGGTTCGTTTTCTGAAATGACTCAGATATAGTATCATTCGAATGGTGTTTGCAAATGAAAGTTCTTTAAACCTTATTTTGGGCACGAGTTGCACTTTCTCCTCGATACTTTTCGCCACAGGCATTTCGAGAGAATGAAGGGTAACCGAACCCTCGACTGGATGGCCAAACTAGGGTTGGTGAATGTCACCCTCGAACTTGGTGGGCAAAGCATCACCATGGACGTCAGTCCTCTCCAAGCCTCTATTCTCCACCTCTTCACTCTTAAGCCACTTTGGAATCTATGTGACATCAGTCAGGTATGCATCTTTTCCCTTCTCATCTGAACCTTTGTTGTGGGCTTTATAGCAATTAGAAACGACTACGTCAGCAGTACGACGAAGCCTGCAGCCCTTTGTACAACGAAGTCTGATAAAGTGGACCTCTGGGGACATTGAAACCTACTGCGTATGCAATGACGTAATGAAGGCGGAAGTTGAGGTCGGTGAGGATCATAATGAAAGCATAAACGTCAGTGTTGCAGAACAGGAGGGTCCACACGACATGGAAACGTCACCAGTCCGCGAAACTGCAGGCACAGATCCGCAGGTGTGTTTATTCATCCTACTTAAATTTAAATTGAAATTAAATTTAAGTTAAATTGGTTTATATTCTTTTGTATTGCAGGTGTTCTGGTCTTATATTCTGGGCATGCTAACCAATTTAGGTGGTATGACGATGGATAGGATTCATTCGACTCTGCGGATGTTTGCTCTTGGATCTAATGATGGTGTGGAGTGCACAAGACAGCATTTGCGGCAGTTTCTGGAAAGAAAAGTTCGAAATGGTGAGCTGGTGTATGAAGACAATGTGTACAAATTGGCTTAAAGAAATTGTTCTTGACTGTTCTCTAATCGTGGTCACCTTGTTTATGTGACTACCTGATGCCTGGCGGTGACTTTGATATCCAACTTGCCTTTGTACGGTTAGGATGGCCTTTAGGCCAAACTAAGGCTAAACGCCTTCTTGCCTTCCCAGAATACATATATTCAGCCCACCTTAATGACATCTTCTATCTAATGGGAGGTCCCGCAGCGCTACATCGGTGTTAAGGTTGTTTAGTTTGCGAGTTATTCTTTACGACAAATTGTCTTGAAGTCGACAAAGTAAAGAAAAGCAGGTGTCAAGCGGATGAAACCGTACTGGCATTGGTTGCAGCCGGACGGATAGTTGTGTTCCCTTCAGCACGTAGGCTGGTCTTTCGGGCTTGGTGGAGGTGGCGCCTCGAGACTGCACCTGGTATAAGAAAGCCTCACGTTAAACAGAATACATGTATTCTGAGAGATTAAGGAGGAATGAAGTCTTGGCATGGTCCAAAGGCTAGTCCAAGCATACAAGAGCAAAGCGAAAATCGAAATAGTCGCTAGTTGTGAGGCGGTTACACAAAAAAACGTATCGCAGCTAAGGTCCAACTTTCCTCCTTTTTTGTTGGTCTTTTTACGATAGTGTAAAACGATTACACTAAGGATTATTTGTTTATTTTGCCATACTTGGGTAATAAATGAAGTCAAGCCGTTTGTCGTTTCGGAATTAATAACAACATACGCAAGATATTCCATTTGACATTATTTAAGCATAAGTTTAATCATAAAAAAATTATTTTACCACGCAACAAAAGGTATTAGTTTAAAGTGCTCACTTAATAAACTAGATATCATATTATATGCTGTTATGAGGGAGAACTTTGACCTTACACAATATTATAAACAAAAATAAGCGGCGGATTGATTAAAAAGCTATCAATGTGGAAATGAGAAATCGTGCGCTTTTATTACAATATGCCTTTCTTTTCAAAAAAGCCGAAAATCGTAATATTTATTAAAAATTTCCATTTTTAAGATCAATGTGTGCGTTTCTACACTTGAGGCAGAACTGGACTTTGCGGTAAAATCAACAACTAATGGGAAGCGACTACTGGATAATGTAAATTGGCCTACATAAGAGCCACTATGCACTAACTAGGTTGCACGGACAATAGGACTTCGGGAAGTTTGGTATTTTGGATTACTTTACCGAACAAATGATGGCGACGAAACTTGGCTTAATCTTGATAAAAAAGTATGCTTATAATAAAAGTAGTTACCTTTCGTCTTTAAACATACAGTTATCATCAGTTGATATTAAGAAAACCTCTCCTCTTGAGTTTGATTTTCGTGCAAAGTTCTTTCCGGAAGATGCCTCACAAGAACTGATACAGGAAATCACTCAGCGCCTTTTCTTTCTTCAGGTAAGCTTCCATTCGTTTGTAAATCAGCAATCAATCTATTTACATTAATAACTTCTTGCGATAATAAGCAGTGAAATGTTTGAGGCCATTTTATGCTTTGGACAGAAGAGTCATTTTTAGACAAACGGTAGTTTCAATATTTTAATATACGTAATGTAGAACTGTCTTCATTTATGCATATGTATGTACATTCCTGTGCATCAAATAACACTAAATAGATTTTAATGATCTTTAGACTTTTTTAAGGTTTAAAAGGCGTTATATGGGCTCAAAGTGCATCGTATACGTTTATTTTTTGCCCGTGTATGTACGTTTTACTAGATTAAGCTAATGGGAACGGGGCTTTGAAGCCGAGCATTCATATGGGCTCTAATACGGTATTATGGGCAAATATTTTTACCTCATACTAATTTAGATAGATCAAGTGGAGTAAAATTAGTGTAGATATTGGCCGGAAATTTGTATTTTATATTTATGAAAGCGATCTGATTTTTTAGAAGATTGGTAGTTGGTCAAATTAACGTCCTATGGACTAAAGAACATAATTATGCAGCGAATTCAAAATTAGATCTTATCTTGACTTAAAAAGTGTTTTTCTGGCAAAACAAACTGTAGTTTAGCATTTCAGCCTGCATACATTCGGTGGCGCATGCAAGTACGTCCAATTTAATTTTGGTATATTTCCGGCCTGCCACTAACATCGGAAATGCATCCCATTGATTGCCACAATGCGGAGTGAAACCGTGCCACAATAACTTATAATATTCTGAAATTTTCCAATCTTTTTGTATTAGTGCCTGCTTTGATAAGTCTGTACAATTTTTTTACAAATGTTCTCGAATCTTATTTCATGACGAACAAAAATCCCTTGTCAATGCTAAAAAGGCAGTTGCAGAACAAAGACTTCATTTTAAAAAGATAATGTCTGCTTTGGATTGATTTACCGGAATGCTATACGCAATTCACAATTAAGGGCTTTCTTTTCAATTCTCTATATGTATTATTATTACCCAGCTGGTTACACCTTCGCCTCTTTCGATTTTGTTATTCTTAGTTAAAAATATTGCAATCATGCGTGTTTTGCCCAGGGCCTTCGGATCTTAATTAATGCCCAGTTAGTCCACTTCATGAGACTTGTAGTTTGCATTTCTCTTATAAAAGTGATTCAATCAGAGTGCAGCCATCGCATTTATAAGAAACTCTCCTGTTTCTCCTTTTGATAAGAAGTAGAAACTGAGACTTTATTTGTGTGAAGGTGCGCCCATTAATGTAGCTTCACCCATAATTTGAGCGCTAGGTCATCGCTTGAAGAAGTAAAATAAAAACCTATTCGTGTACGTATGCTTTCGTTTTAAGAAACATTTAAAGAATTTAGTGCATAGGGGGATGATGGACTGTCGTTTGCTTTTTTTATCGTGCGCATATTGCTTTTTATGCACTATATTTTAATTAAGTTAGGATTACTCTTACCCAAAATCAAAATATAAAATGTACTATATCTTTAAGGACATTTTGGAGGAACTGATTAGTGCTAGCAGAAATGATTGTAGCAGAGAATGGTGAATTCACCGGTTTCATTAACTTAGGTAAAGGAGGCTATTCTGAAGGACAAGTTGCCTTGCCCTCCGGAGACCGCCGTGCTCCTCGCCTCCTACGCCTGTCAGGCGAAGTACGGAGACTATGATGTGGCCCGCTTTGCTAAGCACCCTATCCCCATTGATCGACTACTCTCGCCCAAGTACGTTTCGTTCCTCGCCCTCTGTTCGTGTGTCGAATCGCAAATTGACACATTAATAGACTGACACCAGCCGCATCTATTCGTCAATCGGAGTGAGAGCGAACTTTTTCCAGAAAACTTATCCGAATTTACACTTTTTAATAAGTAAAGTTCTTGGGGTAGTTAAATAATAGGTAGGTAAACGTCAGTGTTGATTTTCAACCTGGCAATGCGTTATTGCACTTCGAAGCGGTAGTCAGTACTTGGGGATATAACTGTTTTCTTCCTCTACACGTCTTAGAATGCATATCAGCGAGCACAAACTTTTTCGACTTTCACTCCATGCGTTTGTTTTGTGAGATGAGTGTGCTTATTGGATCCACAGCATGGGCG